GTCTTTGAGGGCCAGAACTGTTGCTGATTGACAGGTGTTCAAATACTTATTTACAGCAGTAACTCACAAATAAATTATTAAAAAATCATACATTGTGATTTCTGGATTTTTTTTAGATTCTCTCACAGTGGACATGCACCTAAGATGAACATTTCAGACCCCTCCATGATTTCTAAGTGGGAGAACTTGCAAAGTCGCAGCGTGTTCAAATACTTGTTTTCCTCACTGTAAATCTAATCGACACTCAAAGCTCTTTACAACAATCTGTGTCCTCATTCTCCCATTCATACAACACTTTACTGTTTCTGTACAAAGACTAATCAGAGCATCATCACATTCAAACACCGATGGGACGCACATCAGAGGCAGTGAGGGGTTCAGCGTCTTGCCCAGGGACACTCTGGCATGTGACTGCTGGTGGAATCGAACCCCCAACTCTTGCATTGGAGGACGACTGCTCTAACCACTCAGCCACAGCCGCCCCTAATATTGTCATTTGAAACATGGAGTGACTTCTTTATGATTTCAACTTGCATATTTTGGAGAAGAAGAAAAAAATAATTTGTATTAAAACCAGTTTCTCTGTTTAGAGGTCGAGCCAGGTCGACTCGGTGCTGTTTTTTTAGGCGGTTGATTACAAATGTTAAAACTGCTGCCTGCGGCTCATTATTGTCACCATGGTAACCACAAATATGTATACAGTATGTATACCATAGACATAACCTAATGAAGTAGATAAACACTGACAAAAATTCAGCCTCAATCTGTCCCGGTGCAACAATCATAAAAAAAAGTCTCTGTGGCAGAAGTGTCGAGTCATCGCAGATTAATTTGACTCGTCTGCAGCGTTTTATGTAGCAGATACGACAAGTTCAGTTTTGAAGAAAATACTTTGAGCTCAGTTACTAAAGGAGTGGTGGCGCAGAGGTTGAAGAAGGTGTGCCTTTGATCGGAGGGTCGCCGGTTCAACTCCCCGTACCAACGACAGCAAAATGTGGGTGTGAAAGGTGAAACGCCTACATCTGCCTCCACCCTCGTCTGCTCCACTCTGAGCCCTTGAGCAAGGCATTTAACCCCCGAGCACCCTAGATGCAGCTCTCTGCTCCACATAGAGGACTGTGGTAGCTCAGTGGTCGTGTCAGGAAGGACATCCGGCGTAAAAATAATTCAGATCTTCGTGCAACTTGGTTCGCTGTGGTTACCCCTGAAGTATTTTATTTATTTTATACTCGAGTTGGACTGGAACCCCTGAAGAATGGAGCAGCCGAAAGAAGAAAAACAAACAAGAAACCTTTCAGCTCGGTTACAATGAGAGTCACTGGGTTTGGGACGTGCACTCTGCATGTGGTGCAGATCTGAGAGAAAACCAGTCCTGTGAGACTGGGTGAAAGAAGATAAAAATGCCCCCCCCCCCCCCCGCCCATGTGGAAACCGTAAAGTTTGTAAAAACAATGTTCTTGAAGTGATTTTTATTAAATATATTTTATTTTTTTGCATCCCATGACTGCAATTAAGTATCTGAATGGTATCATTTGACCTCCAGGCTTTATGTAGACCTTCTGCAAATTTAATAGATACTTTATAAGTATAATTTTTAGGGTTAACAGCAAAATGGACTTAAAAAAATCTTCTTAAGTTCAAGACAAACCTTTGGCTATAATTCATCTTGTTTCCCATTTCCGGGCACAAAACACCACAAAGCAGACTTCTACCAAAAAGACATTTGGAGAATCTTTCTTTAAACTTGACAAAGTATATCAAGTGCTTTCAAAGAAAAAAGACTTCAGTTGATTTAATAATCGAAACGAGACAATTTTAAAGGAATATAAAGTGGTATCATCTGCATACATGTTGATCGACTTTATTAGTGGATCTTCAAACCCTCCATGAGTTTGTTTTAGCAACTGACACATTTTTTAGAACTTCACTCTTTTGGGTCATCCATGGTCCAATATAGTGAGGACCCCCCCCCCCCCC